TTTGGAGAGAGGGAGGGAGAAAAAACCCCATTCAGGGCAGCCACAGCCTCACCCCAGATGGGGGGGAAAAAAAAAATAAAATAAAAAAAAAAAATCAATTGCTTCATTTTACAAATATTTCCTGCCCATTTCTTGTAAGAGCCTTGTTTGCGAGCTCAGGCAGGAGCAGGGTCTTTTGGGTCAGTTATTTTCCTCTCTTGACTCAGCTTCCCCAGCCACCAGCAGAGACGCGGGGTGACCGGCCATGTTCCTAGGAGGATGCCACTCATTCAAGGAGACGGGCAGGATGGCCAAAACACTGTGCCCCAGCTCAGCCCCCAGATAATGTTTCCAAAAGCACTTTATCAACAGGAGAGCCCCGAGGGTTCTTGCAGGTTGCCGGTGGGTGATGGGGAGGGTGCAGTTCCCCTTGGGGGGGTTCAGGACAGCCAGGTTGGGCACCTCCAGGGAGCTGCCGTGGGAGCAGCCCCATCTGCAGCTGTGCAGGGGAGAGGGGGGCTCGCCCTCAGCTCCCGGCAGCCTTCGGAGAAACGTCCCTGACTCACCGTCAGACCCCACCTTGCTTTGGGGGCATTGAACAGGATTTTTAAAATCACCGCTTATACTACTAGCAAGCTCTCTTGGATCCAGAGCAGGTTTTCGGGAAGGGACCCAGTTTGAGGTCACCTTTTGCTCTGAAAGCAAAATTCGTTGCTTAAAAAAAGAAAGAGGAATCCTGCCCTCCCCCACTGGGGCACAGGCAGAGCCTTGGATGCTGCCTCACCTCGGAAAGAGCATCTGGCTGCTTGGAGAAATGAGAGGCACCACTGTTTGCTTTTGACTAATTTGATGATGTTGCAGTGCTCAGAGTGATGAAGCAGGAGGGAAGTTGCTGAGACAGCCCTTTGAGAAATATCTCCAAAGCTTTTCCGAAAAGAAAGAAAGAAAAAAAAAAAAGAGCAAGAAGAAAGTTTGTCACTTCGCTCCTTTGAATTTGCTTGGCAGAAGAATCTCTCTGATTTCCCAGCCAGAGATGAGAGGCACCACTGGCTGCTGCAATCCCCAGGGGCCAATTTGGATGAACGGATAAGGAGGCTGATGCCCGCGCTTCCGATGGTGGCTCTCGTGCCGTGATGCCGATAGCAGCACCCTGTGCTCCGACTGCGGGGGGCGGACTCCTGCCAGGCCCTTGTCCCCGTGACCGAAACCCCTGCGCTTGAGCTTGGGACTGGCTGGGAAGCTCACACGAGGACACCTCGCTTGCTCTGAGCTGCGGGGGAGCAAAACCTTCTTTTTACTTTCTTCCCCTCTCCTGGTGTTGGCCTTGGAGGTGGCTGCAAGGCTCCTCTGCACATCGCTCCTCCTTCCCATGCTAGAGCCTGGGGTCGATGGCTCTTGCCTCACCTTTCTTTTGCCCCATGGAAAACCACGCTGCAGAGGGCATTGCGTCCTCAGAAATTCATATTTCTTTGCTATCATGTCCCTGGAGCATCTCACAGTCTGCAACGCTGGAAAATGGGCTGGCTGCAGACTCTTCACCGCAAGGGTTACATCAAGGTCTGGCACCACAGCACGCGTTTGAGGGAGAGGCAGGAGAAGGCATCGGGCAGGATCTGGAATTTGCAGGCTGCAGAGCATGGAGCAGAGCCCAGGAAGGAAGCAGGAAAGTTGGAAGGAGAAGGAATAACTCCAAAAGGTGGGATGCGCTCCCTGGAGAGGAGCATGCCTGGACTGGTGACTGCAGAATGATCAAAGCACGAAACCACTTCTTAAATGAGAAAGAGGAGCTTGAAGAGCACGGAAGGAAAAGGACAAAAGCCTCACCGGCAAGCATGTGACATGGCTCAAAGAAGGTAGCGTGCCCTCAGAAGCTCAGAGTGCTGCTGGGCTGTGCCCAGTGCTGGGATTAGGGACTAACGAGCTGAGCAAGCCACACCAAGCAGCTTCCGAGAGAAGCCTATGAAATACAAGGTTGGTAAATGCCGTTGAGAAGGCATTGACAGATAAGGACCTGGGAAGAGATCCAAGCAATCCCAAAGTCCCACCGGCATCATTCGAGGTTCAGCCAGCATCAGATGCAACCTGCACCCACCACGCTCGTCCCTTCCCAGCCGTGCCTGAAGAGCAGCCGGCAGATTCCAGCCTCAGCATCTTATTTGGAGGCCAAACCCAGTTTCAGGTCTGCTGGGAACCTGCAGGCTCACGTGGGCCATGGGTTTGTCTGCTGGGACCGCGTCTGAGAAGAACGGCCATCCCCTGGGATGCAAGAAGCAGCACCAGTACAGGGGGCTGAGCAGGTGAAGTGTGCTTGGGAGGCAGGTCCGAGGGGGCTCCACAGGGGTATATTCAGGTGGAATACGTTATCTGCAGGCACAAAATGCCTCTCTGGATTAGGCTGGTGTAGTCAGAGTGGCAAGGAAGAAGAATCTGCCGAGGGAGAAGGGGAGGGTTATTCACTACCAAAGCTTCCTACTTCACCATTTTGCAGAACGGCAGTAACATGATAGTTTCAGGGAACCTTTTCATTTCAGAGGTTTTAAAGTTTTGTGTCCAAGTACAGGATAATGAAGACATCAGAAATGCAAATGAAATGTTTTGAGGAACACAAAGAGATTTTGGCGGCGATGAAGGAGGTGGGAGGAAGAGAATTTTCTCTTCAAGAACTGCAAAATTATGGGGTTTGTTCCAATGCAGGATGGAGCCTGAAACCTTGAAACCTTTCATAAACAGAATTCCTGCTCTCAGCACACTTCTCCCTCTCAGGGCTGCTGATGCTGCTTTTTGGACCAAACCTGCCATGTTTCCATCATGCTGTTCATGTTATGGAATAGACCTGAGAAGAAAAATAAATACTGGCAACTCGGAGGGAGGGAAGATGGGACATGACAATCTCGCTAGAGCTCAGAGGGAGAAAACAGACCTAGGTTAGCTGGCAGAGGGTGAATCAAACTCTATTTTTGTTTTGTAGCCCACGGTGAGCCTCATGGCAGAAATGCCAGCTCTCATCATACCTTGCACCCCACTTCCATGCTCTGTTTTATGATCGCCTATCGTCACAGATGGCTGGAGCCAAGTAGCAGACACAGCCGTGGTCGCAGCCTGTCCCACGGGCATGCGCCATGGGCCCAGAGCACCTCACGGCTGGAAGCCAGCAGGGAGCAAAAGCCAGGCCGTTGCAGGAGCAACCTCCCGGGCAGTGCTGGCCACGGGCGCAAGGCATGGAGAGGAACCAGTATTTTTTCCCCAACGCATACTTCACAGTTTCCAATTTTCCTTGCAAGTAACATCGGAGAAGCGGGCTGGAAGCCCAAAGCCTCAGGTGTAATCTGAATCGCTTTTGGCAAAGCCCACCTTGAACAAGAAGCTTTTGGCTCCTTGGGAATAAGCTCAAACTTGCACTGTTCCTTTCTGCCCTAGGAAAGCTATCACAGCAACATGAGCTGGAGCAGCTTTGATAAAGTGCTGCAGGCTGTGAAGGTCAGCACCAGGCAAAGACGGATACAGCACAGGATTGGTCCCAAGACCCACAACTCCAGCTGGATCAATGGCCAAACGGTCCAGGCTGTAGGTGTCAAGCTCAACCTTGAGCGAGGTTTTGCACCTCCTGGTGCCAAGGCAGAGTTCTATTCCTGTTTTGACTGACACCAGCTTTGCTTGCTCCCCTCCCCCAAGCCTGGAGAAGTCAGAGCCTACAGCGTTAGAGCTGCATCAATCTGATAAAGCTTGCTTATTTTTTGGGCATTTCTTTGGCATCGACCAACACGGTCTCCATGGTTATCCACTCCCCATCGCTCCCTGACCTTTCTGCACTTCTCTTATGGACCAAGAAAACTCTCCCTGGAGAAGACCTTCACCATGCCCCAGCTCTGTCTAAGACCAAGCGGAGGAGATGATTAATCTCCAGCACGTCGCAGGAGAGGCAGCTGGGAGCTGCCCCTCACCCTGCCGAGCCACTCTCGACCACTTTTCCCTGCAGTATATCTCCTTCCCCACTCTTCTGCTCGAGCCCGAGCCTGCTCGCTCATACAGAGTCCTATTGCAAGAGTGAGGCTGCAGCTTTTCATCAAGCAGGAGATTGAAGACTAATTTTGACCAAAAAGTGGATTTTCAGTCCCAAGGTACATAGATTACATAGTTGGTTTTTTTTAAACTATATTGAAAAATAAAGTGAGTGGAGTTTTGGTGAAGTACCCACTTTGCTAATATTCTTGCTGGTTTGAGGTCCTTCAGTTTAAGTGAATTCAAAGTGTTTTAGTTTAATCTTGCTCTGAGTAGAAGAGGCTTCCCAAAGAAAGAAAAAAAATCACACTTTTCATCCTTTGCCCCAGCTGGAGGAGAATTTCCTTGGAGAACCTGCAGCTGGTGGGACAGGATGGGGACACTGGGGGCCATGGTTTGAAGGGGGAGGCTGTACCTTGTAGTAACGCTTGGGATTGTGCCCTCCAGGAGCTTCACCTCCAGCTCCACCACAGCAGTCTTAGCAAAAACAGAGGGACAGAAGGGATTTTTAAGCACCCCTGCATGTTTTGCTGGAGCTGTAGTCAAGCACAACCCCTTCATGGTCTCAATTCTTTGGTTGCTTAAACCAGGTTCCCCCAGGGATGGGTTGGTGCTGGACTGAAGGACGTGCAGTCCAGGCAGGTAGCCCTCAGCCTTCCTGGGAGAGAGCCAGGCTCAGGGGGTTAAATCCCCTCCTGTTGCCAGCAGAGACCAAACCCAACGGTTTCAAACAAAAAGCGGCGTGCCGAGACCCGGGAGCACGCGCGGCAGGAGGGCACAACAGGGAAGGATGTCCCCTGTCCCACCGCAATTCCCCAGATATCTCCCACCCGCCGCCGGCACCGAGCTGAGCTGATTTTTTTTTCCCCCTCTGATTCAGTGTGACCACCCTAACGGGCTTTGGGTAACCGTGTCCTCCGCGGAAAAGATGCACAATTTGGGAGAGAGCAGAAATGACAGCGTGAAAACAGCCAAAAATTAAAAAAAATTTAAAAGAGGAAGATGGAAAACACACGGCGTGGGTGTTGGTTTGTGATGGGAGTGATCAGAAGCTCAGCCTGGGCTCTGCCGCCAAGCTGGGCAGGGAACCCGCAGGGATCCCGCTCCTCCGCAGCCAACAGCTCTGCCTTTCATCTCCCGTTGTTTCCGGTAAAAAAAATGAATACCATTTTCCCCCCTCCCTAGGGAAGCAGGTGCAGCAAGGGAAATTGAAGTTACAAATCCCTCCGTCGCTGAACCGAGAGCACCGGCTTCAGCAAACCCTCCCAAAAAAGCCTCCTGGCTTTTACAGCCAGTCAATAACCAAGGGCAGCCGCAACCTGCTGCGGCGCTTGACACTGCTAAAATGCGTTTGGGGACTTGGGGAAAGGCAACCTATCACTGCTGATAAATGGCCAGGAGGCGAGAGAGCTGGTAGCAAAAAAAAAAAAAACCAAACAAAAGAATAGCTACGAACAACACACAAAGCATGAAGGGCCACAGGGAGCTGCCTGGGCTCCGGGGCGATGGTCTACACCTCAGGAGGGCACCACCACACACGTGGCCCCTTGCAGAAGTAGATACCAGAAATGAAGTGGTTCCACCCGCGCAATGGGACTTCACTGTCCTCAAGAGGTCACGTGTGTCCCCACCCTCGTTATACATGCGGATGCATACGGAAATAATTAGCTTGATCTAGAAAGAGCGGGGTGGATGAGCAGGCAGCTCTGCTGTCACATTTCAAGAAGGGATGGGCATTTCTGAGCTCTCAACGGGAAACCTTTCTCCCCTTCCCAGAAGATGGGAGCAGCCAAGGCAGGTCCCACTGCCCTTGCACAGAGGTCTCCTTGGCTTCAGCTGGAGCCAGACCGGGGCTCCCCGCTCCCCTCCCCAAAGCCAGAGTCTGACTGCCAAAAGCACAGGAGGTTTCAAAACTCATTTCTCCTGGGAAACATCATACTGTACTGGTCTGACCTTCCTTCTCTCTCTCCGGCAGTTAATCAATAGCAGATTTCAAGGGGAGAGCTCCAAAGCAGAATAGCAAGGACAGACGAGACCATAAATCTGATTTGACAGATGGGGAAACTGAGGCATGGGATTTTGTTTGAAACTGAAAACAAATGAGATCGAGAAGGCAGAACAGAAACAAATCCTAGCCTGGCCTACGATCCACCACATCGCATAGCTCAGCTTTCCACGAAACATTGCTCCTGCTGTCTCCCTGATTTCCCATGCTTACGTCTTTCTCCCTTTCTCCCACCATCTACTCCCAATTTTTCATTCTTTTATCTTCCCCTCATCAACCGCTTCCCCCATTTTTTTTTGCAACCCTTCCTCTCCATCTCCGTCCTGCTGCATCAGACGGCAGCCGTTGATGGAGAGGTGCCCACCAACACCTAAACCAGCCACCTTGGGTAGCCAAAACCAGCACATTTCACCAAATGTAAAAAATGTATTTAGGGACCTACCAGTCTACCTGGACTTCTATATCTCTTGTCTCTACCTTGGAGGGTGCATCTCCATCGCTGTCCTTACTACTGCTCTTCAGGAGATCCAGGACGGGCTCAATTTCTTTGAGCAGTTCATTGTCTTCCATGCCACCGTTGAGGCAAGGGTGACCACAAGCACCCTCCTTCCCCTTCCTGGCATCCTGCCTTTTGCCATCGGTAACGACGCCGTTAACGTGGACCATCGGCTCCACCTCCTGCCCGATCTCTCTTGTCCACAGGGAGCCCATGGTGCGGTCGGCTGCTGGCAGCAGCTGCTCTTTGCCGTGCAGGCTTGGGTTGGACAAGTCAACCGCCTTCGGAGTCAGGCAGAGGGGTCTGGTGACACGGATGGTTTTTGGTGTCCCGTCACCTGCAAAAGTGGTCTCCAGGTGAGTGGTGAAGCCCTCGGGGCCCCGCAGGATGAGGACCACGTAGGTCTCGGAGGCGATGCTTCTCAGTATCTCCAGCGCAGTCTCATAGCTCATGTCTACCAGGGGCCTGCCATTGACAGCTAAAATGATGTCCCCAGCCTGGATGAGGCCACTCTGCTCTGCAGCCCCTCCCCGGATCAGGTCCGAGATGATGACAGGCGGCTTGCTGACGCGCTCCTTCACCAGGAAGCCGAGGCCGCCCACCTTGCGCTTGAAGAGCCTCACCGAGATGACGTTGGGCTGTATCTGCTGCACGCTGAACACATTCTCTTCCATGGCAGCCTCCCTCTTCGAGCCTGCAGACCAGGACCTTGACACCCACAGAGCGCAGAGAAATTCGCCGCCTGAGATGTTTAGCCACGCCGGGGCAGGGAAGGGGCAACCCTTTGGCTTTTAGGCAACTGGCCTCACTGCAAAACTCCTCGGGGCTTCAGCTGTGGGCTGGCTTTCTGCAGCATACTCACTGACCCCTCTCTCCCAGCGTGATGTCCTGGGGAAAGCAGGGTGTATCACCAGTGGAAGGCAAGGCTAGGGGCAGGGCTGGGCATTGCGCGGCCAAGCAGGGCTGGAGGGGACGACATGCCAGCTTCCAGTCAGCCTCTGGTCCTGCACCGGGCAGAGGAGGGGAGGCAGCCCGCTCACTTCACCGACATCCCTGCAAATGGTCTGCAAGGTTCTTTATCTAGAAAGGAGGAAAAAACAACAAAGGAGAAAGAAAATTGAGACAGGGCAGGCGTAAGCGCGGGCTCAGCACGGGGCTCGGCACGCTGCAGACACCCATATGCATCACCCCGTCCCCACAGATGTCATCCCCCAGGCTGCGTTTGGGAGACAGGCTGCAGCCTCCCATGGCTCTGGGCTTTGTTTCCTCCGCTCCCCCCATGAAAATTGGCACCATCTGTTCGGTGGGGGCCGGGAAAGCACGGGGGGAGCCCTGGAAGGGGGCTGCTGGGCAGCCTCCCTTGGACCCTCCCTGCTTTGACCATGGGTCACAAGCAAAAACTGTGCAAGTCTGGCAAATGGGTAGAGCTGCATGGAGTTCAGCGGCAATTTCTGCCAGCTGAGAATCTTGTCTCCATGTGTTTTCCAGAGTATCCAAAAGCCCGATGGTCAAGATGGATGGGGGTGACCAAACTGGGGATGTATGTCCCTGCCCACGATGAAACCCGATGAACACCAAGACCGTTTCGATGCTTCAGGAGAAAGAGCAGCAGCCACAAGCAAGACGAGGCAGCAGCAGAGGACATTTAGCTCCCCGTACCCTGAGCTACAGCAAAGCAGGCACCACGGTGAATGCTTTTAATCCCGGCTGCAGGGATCACAGCCTCAGCCTGGCTCAGCTCCTCCTCTCCCCATATTTCATGCCTGGCACAGCGATACAGGAGGCAAAGCTAGCACTCCCCCGTGCCCAGCCCTGCCACCCGGTTCTGAACACTTCCCAAGCAAACTGCTTTAGCTGATGGAAAACCATCTAGAGGAGAACATGCGATGAGTTTACCCCACTCTCAGGGGAGCCCCGTGCAGCTGGGCATGAATTCCTACAGCCCTCGCGTGGCCCGGGGAGCCATGTCTCATCGACTCCTGATGGGACCCTGGTCCTTATGTGCCTATGCTTGCATTCGATAACTTCAGCTCCCAAACCCTCTCTGTCTTCCCCTCCCCTTTCATAGATGCTCTGGAGAACCTTTCCCTCCGTGACTGTGCCCTGACATTTTGCAGCAAGCTGAAGTGCAGATGCCTTCTTTTCTTTTTTCAATCTGAAATTTGGGGGCAGACCAGAGGGCACTAGATCTGCAGGCTGGAGGCACAGGCATGCCAAGGGAAACACTCTCTGCTCTCCTGGAGGCAGCGTTTGCGCCTTCAAACACCTCGCACCAGGCCTCCCTCTGCCAGGAGCTCCCTCCATCACCCAGATGGGAAAAACAGGGATCTGAGGAGCAGGGCAGTGACGCCAGCCCCGGCATTAACTCACTCGAGCATTTTAATACTCATGTGATGAAGGCTGCTGACCCCAGACTGGCACTTTGCAGGTGAGTAAAGAATAAAGCAATTTGAGCCTGATAACCCGAGCCAATGGATTTAACCCCTCTTGCCCTTCTCCAGCCATTACTCAGCCCTGCAGAGTATACAAAGGGTTAAATGCCACCCGAGTAGGTCAGTGGGGAGTCACCTCTGAAAGGGCTAATTAGCCTGGGTGACATAAGCCCTAATTGCTGGGTGACTTCTCCCAAGTGGCCCTGACCAGATGTCACTGGAGCAGGACCTCTGCCAGCCGCGATGGGGCCGTGCCACCCCATGGGGCTTGGGCAGCAGAGCAGGACATCTCCTCATCTCCTCCAGGTCCTTGGGCCATCTGGGGAGGGAAGGTCACATGTTTGGGGAGGAAGGAGGGAGGCAGAGATCTGCTTGGCCAGGGAAGGTCCTGCCCCTCTGTCTTCCCAGCCCCTCCACCCCTTCCCCAGCCAAGAGCCCACTTTCACTGTCCACTCTGGACACAGAGGCACAGGCGGGACCCCAGCCAAGTCTTCCCCCTCCTTTCGCAGGCAAGAGCCCTTGGGCTCTTCGGTGCTGGTGCCAAACCACAGGACCAGCTTCCTTCTCCCTGCCCAGGGTCTGTCGTTTCCACACCCTGCTCCCAGCAGTCCACCAGCACAGACCCTGCATCCCCCAGCCCCTCCACTGGTCCCCCCTGCCAACGAGGCCACCATCACCCTGACGTCCAGGCAAGCACCGACTCACACAGGATCATTTCTAGCGTCTTAGCTGACGCTGTAAGGACAAACGAGGCTTTGAAAGCAGCCTAAGGACCACGCGAGTGCGAGACTGTCAGCCTCCCTGTCCAGGGGACAACCCTGTTATTTGCTCGGAATTCGTCACCAGCTAAGCAATGCCCATGAGCTCCTCGCAGTCAGTGAAGTATGGGTCTGCATCGTGCCCATCTCAGCAGGGCCAGGGCCATTTTGGGGATGGCCTGGCACAAGCCTCTGCCACCAGTGGGCTGGCAAGCATCCCCAGCAGCCCCCACAGGCGAATGGATGCTCAAGAGCTGGAGGAGACAATGCCTTTCAGCCCGGCTTGACCACTTACTGCAGCACTTGCAGGGGAGCGGGACCTCATTGGAAAGGGCCCTCATCCATCCCGAAAAGCTGAGAAACCCCAAAGTGTTTACAGTCCCTCACTCTTCTCCTGCCAGGCCAATTTCCAGTTCTTTCCTCCAAAAAGCTTATAGCAAAGATTATGATTTGTTACATATGTGCAGCACCAGCCTGCAGGATCCCAGAGAACAATGTGGGTGCACATCGTTCCCCATCTCTGAAATCAACCGACACCTCAGCATTCCCTACAAGAGAAGAAAAAAGATTCTAGGTGATCTCTGAACACCCAGCCAGGGATTTCTCCAAGCTGGGGCTGAGCACCAGAGTGTCCCCTACGGACAGGAGGGTAACTCGCTCCCGGACCTCACAGGCTCTCGCCTGTGGGTGATCGGTGGCTGGTATCTCCCCCCGCCTCAGCTGCAGGATCTGCAACAGCAACCGGGGGAGGGCTGGAAGACAGGGACTGAACATTATTTACCTGTTCAGGCTTTTTTCCCTCCCTCAAACTCAAGCCTTTCCTATTCCTCAGCCACTCCCCAGAGTAAGGAAGGTCAGAAAAAAGCCAGAAGCAAAGGGGCAGGCAAGGAGATTGAGGGCAACCTGGCTCTAAGCCCTCGATCCTTCTGCTCCTTTGGAGAAGAGTTGGACAAGCATTTTCGTAGAATCATTTAGGTTGGAAAATAACCTTAAGGTTGTTGAGTCCAACCATTTTGCAGCTACAAAATCTTGCACAAACTCAGACCGAAGATGGGAGGGATGGGGAGATGCTCAGGGCACACGGGGGCAGCAGGAGCCACCTGGGAGCACAGGGGGGATCTCCCCAGACCCCCAGCACAGGTCAGGGCTTCCCCCATGCCCAGGTCCCAGGGTGTCCCAGGACATCTGCCCATCTGTCCCCAGAGGGGACACATTTCAGATGAAACCTGAAGCATTCAACCCCACATGAAGTGATGGGGAGAGGCTGGCTGCTTGCAGAGTGGGTGGGTGAGCTGTGCTCAGCTCTGCCGAGTTCAGTTCTCCCTACAAGCATCATTAAGAGTCTGATTTATGAACCCAAGAGCAGCAGTACCTTTGCCAGGTTGTACATCCAAAGCTACTGGAGGAGTCACAGCCAACTCCTTAAAACCAGTGAGACCAGCTCAGCAAGCAGGCTTGGGGTGAGGGCTGCTCAGGTGGAAACACTTATTTCACCCTGGGAGATGCCCGATGCCATGGGCAAAGCCAGGCTCAGCTCCCCGCCAAGCCACCCTGCTTGAATAAACATCCACGGACAGCGCGGTCCAGCTCCCTGCCTTGGTTTCCCTCCCCTTTCCAAAGCATAAAGCCAACTCAAATTACAGAAGAGCAACAAACCCTGAGGAGCTGCAAATTTGTGGCACCCCAGACAAGCGTTACGAAAAGCGTTTGCTCTGATCTCAACACCGATCCACGCCGACATCACTTGTTTGGAGGCTTTAATCAGCGTAGGGAAGAGCAGCAGAACAGGCTCCCCTACGGCAGCGACGAAGGCATTCGCTTAACAAATAAGCCCAACGAAAAGCAATAACGAAAAGCTTTTAGAGTCGCCAGATAACATTTCAAGCAACAAACTCCAGCACATATGTTAATTGGATGATTTGATTTAGAAAGCAAAGCGGAGGAGAAATCAATCTTAGGAGCTTAACACAATCTCTTAACTCTCCCAGCCAGGAACCGCAGGCTACGGCCAGCTAGGATGTACCCAACGCCAGCCCTTCGGCGTGGGCACTTGGGTTGCCCTTGCCCTCGCAAATCGATTTGGAGCCTTGTCTTTGCTGCAGTAATGGCTTACATCTCTACATGCCAGCTTTAAATGGACACCATTGTCCTATTTAATTAGTTTTCGTGGGATTTATAGCATTCAGTGAAGAACCCCAGGGCTGATGGATTTATGCCCGTTTAATTTTTATGACCCATGGAGCATCAGTGAATCTGATGAGGAGCAATGGGATGCAACATATGTACAGTTACTGTAAACCCGCGTGTTTGTGCATCTGAAAATGGAGCATTAAAGTGATTCACTGACAGCCAGCTCGCCCGTGCCAACAGTTCTGTGCTCAACTCCCATTCAGCGCAGACTGGTGCCGTGGCGTATCTATGTACATGGCCTTTCAATCCTGAGAACATATAGGCAATGTTCCCCCAGCTATCTCCAATTACCCA